CTGCATCCCGCTGCTTCTCGGTCAAACCTGGGTGCTCCGTCCATACGATGCCCTGCTTTGGCTTGCTGAGGGCGAACTTCTTGTCCCGCACGTTCACGAACGCAACTCTCTGCGTCGGGTCCACCGCCGTCCACGCGGTGCTCTTCGCCCCTCCCACCCGGGTGAGCAGGAGGAGCACCACCCCCGTCGGCTTCGTCTGCGACTGGGTTCCACCGCACCCACGGCGCCATGGAGCTCGCGCGCGAGCCCCTGAACAGCTCGCCTGCGGCGTCCGCTCCCTGCTCGGCAAAGAGCGGCTCGCTGTCGGCCTCCTGTTCCTCGCCCGCGCTCGCCAGGAAACCCGGCGCCAACGCCTCCCACTCGCTGGCGAGGATGGCCAGCGCCAGGGCCCAACTGACGGGCCCAGCACGCGCCGCGATGCCGCGGCGCCAGCGCCGCCCTCGGCCGCGCGCGCCGCCCAGGCCTTCGGGGCCCGATCGCCCGCGCCGCGCGGGCCCCGCGAACGCCTGCAAGGCTGGCCCTTGGCGGTGAGCTGGTCCTTGACGTAGGCGATCTGGTGCTCGGCGGCGGTCGCATTCTCGCCCTTGGCGTTGAGCTGGTCGCGGGCGCTGTCGCTCTGGAGGTCGGCGGTGGAGGCAATCTCGGACTTGTGGATGATGGCCATTGCGTCGTTCATCAGCGAGGCCTGCTTGGTACCCAGCTGGTCCGCGATGGTGGCGGACTGGTGTTCGGCCGTGGAGATGACGTCGGCCAATTCCTGCTTGAACTCGGCGTTTTGGCTCTGAACTTACTTAAGGAGGCAGTCGATAGTGCGTTGGTCATATCGCCGTAGTTTTTCACTCTCGGCAAGCGCGTACTCCAGCGTCTCGAGCTTCGCCCGTAACGCGGTTACGGAGGAAATCGAATGAAGCACAGCATCATCGCGTAGGCGACGATCGCCAGAGATCACCTCTGACAAGGAGGTGGTGTCCAGAGAGCTGATCTGTCGGTATTCACTTTCTTGTAGGCCGGCGGTGCGCCAGAAGCCGACGAGGCAACCACCGGTGGAGTAGCAGGCTCATCAACACGCGCTTCCTGTAGGAGAAGACCAGCTTGATGCTTGGCTCGATTGGCATCTCGATGAACTCGGAGACGCTGGCGAAGAAACTCGGGAAACAATTCCGCACCAGCAGCAGCTCCGCGAGCGTAGTGAGGAGGAGCAGGCGCATGACGATCATCGGTGGCGTGGGGCCCCATGGGGTGAACCACCTTCGCCGCCGATTGCTTCAGGAACACTGGGACGGCAAGCCATCGTAGTCCAGGACCTGGATGGGGTTGAAGACAACCACGCTCCACCGCCCGAACATGGCGTGCCGTGCGGCTAGCCAAGGAGCGGCGTCCAGGCATGAGATATGAAGGGGGGAGGCGCCAGCACTCGATGGTGCACGTTCGCAGCACACTGCCGATGGGGCATCGGTGGCTTGAGCCAAAATGGCTACGGAGGAGGAGGAGGGCGGAGGATGAGGAGGATGAGGAGGAGGAGGAGCAGGAGGAGCAGGAGGAGGACGAGGAGGAGGAGGAGGAGGAGGAGGAGGAGGAGGAGGAGGAGGAGGAGGATGTACAGACGGAGTGTTCCACGTTCTGATCGCCCCGCCCCGCCTCTGCTTTTTCGTCGGGACCCCAACAAATCGCGCCAATGGGGAGGGTAATTAGTCTCCCCACCCCTGCTCGCACAGCGGCACCTCCCGCTGAGTGAAATGAGGTTGGCGCGGAGGGCGCCTGCAACCCTCGCGCCAAACGGACTGCGGCTCGTCGAACTGTTGCGATCTGTCTCCCTCTCTCTCTCTCTCTCTGTCTCTCTCTCTCTCTCTCTCCCCCCTCTCTTCTCGTCTCCTCTCCTCACTATACCTCTCCCCCTCTCTACAATTACTCAATATGAATAATACTCTCCCTCTTCCCCTGATGACGGCTTGGGAGTATCCGACCCCCCCGCGTATTGTTTTTTACACAGAGGTTTCTCTGGAGTTGGGTTTTCGCCTGCATTTTTTCCAACATGCTGCTCTCGCTGAGGCGCCGGCCTCATTTTCGGGCCCCGCTCGTTCCGAATCGTGCTCCCGCTGCAGCGCTTGCAATATGAATACTACTCTCCCTCTTCCCCTGATGACGGCTTGAAAAAATCCGACCCCCCCCCGCGTTCTGTATTTTACACAGGTTTCCCCGGAGTTGGGTTTTCGCCTGCGTTTTTTCAAAATACTGCTCTCGCTGAAGCGCCGGCGTCATTTTCGGGCCCCGCGCGCTCATTCCGAATCGTGCTCCCGCTGCAGCGCTGGCATCATTTCCGCCGGCGCCCGGGCTGCACGCCCGAGCCGGCGCCCGGGCCGGCGCCCGGGCCGGGTCTGGAGCCGGTTCCGGCCGGCGCCGGAAAATCGAGTTCCGAGGCGGCGCCGAAAAAAGGTTATTCTAAAACACATTTTTCTTTTGACAATGCTGAATTTCTGCTTCCGGCGCCCGGGAGGCCTCCCGGGCCGATTCCGACGCCCGGGCCGGCGCCCGAGCCAGCGCCCGGGCCGGACGCCCGAGCCGGCGCCCGGGCCGGCGCCCGGGCCGGGTCCGGAGCCCGTTCCGGAGCCGTTTCCGGCCGGCGCCGGAAAATCGAGTTCGAGGCGGCGCCGAAAAAAAGGCCATTCTAATACACATTTTTCTTTTGAAAATGCTGCACTTCTGCTTCCGGCGCCTGGGAAGCCTCCCGGGCCGATTCCGACGCCCAGGCCGGCGCCCGAGCCAACGCCCGGGCCGGACGCCCGAGCCGGCGCCCGGGCCGGCGCCCGGAGCTGGTTCCGACCGGCGCCGGAAAATCGAGTTCCGAGGCGGCGCCGAAAAAAGGTCATTCCAATACACATTTTTCTTTTGACAATGCTGAATTTCTGCTTCTGGCGCCCGGGGAGCCTCCCGGGACGATTCTGGCGTGCTTCCGCTCGTTCCGAATCGTGCTCCCGCTGCAGCGCTGGCCTCATTTCCGCGCATCCACTCGTTTCGACTCGTGCTCCCGCTGCGGCGCTGGCGTCATTTCCCGTGCCATGCCACGGCATGCAATGCAATGCTAGGTTGCTACTACGCTTCGCGGTGCTCTTCTACGCCATGCCATGCCGTGCTGTACAATGCATCGCGTACCCTTTCGGGATCATTGCCCTGCTCGACATCCGACTGTGCGAGTAGAGAGGGGATCTGCGCCATGGTAAGGGATGGGAGGGAGGGGTAGGACGTCAGATATGACGCGAGCGCACCTAGCTTGCCTATCCCCCCTCCTCCCCCCCTCCCACTCCTTAACCCCCCATGCGCCCCCCGTGCCACACCTAAGCCTCATGGGGCCAGCGAGGGGATGGGGAGGGGGAGCCGGCAGAACTTTTTACGCGTTGTAAGTCGGGTTCCTGACAAGGGGTAGGTCGGGAACCAACGCGCAAAAGCGCAGGTTAAGATCGCTCTTGGGATCTCGGGATGGTTCACCCCCAGCAACCCCATCGGTGAACGGCAATGCGAAACGTACGAGGTCGGGCGGCTTTTGGGCTCTCGGGGGGAAGCGATGGCGTTGTTGGTACTGGCCAGCCGGGATCTGAGGTGGAGGGGAAGGACGAGCAAGGGGGCGAGGGTCATGGAGCACAGGCAGGCCTGAATTGGATCGGGTGGCAAAATTGGACCAGATCGGAAAACGAACGGATCGCCAACGAATCGTCCCGAATCAAGTCAACATGGGATCGCCGCTCCGGGCTTCGGCTGGCCCTGGCCGATGCCGGTGAATCGAGCCGAATCGAATCCAATCAGAATCGCTGCCCCCGCTTGCGAATCCGCCGACCCCTTGTGGGTATCCCCCGCCCAGGGACCCCAAACTGGCAATTTGACCCACTCCCCCGGGCCGAGCCCGACCCCGGACCGAACGCGCCACGGGAGAGCGGAGAGCTTCCAAAGTAGCCAAGAAGGCACCAAACCGCTCTCCAGACGGTTCCAGGGGGCCACGATTCGCCAAAATATCGCCCCTGGACGCCCACGATGGCCTCCAGGTGGCCTCCGAAGCTGCCAAGACGCCCCCAAAGGCCCCCAATATGCGCCCCAACAGGGTCCCAAGAAACAGACATCGTCCCATTCCCTTTGAACAACAACAAACATGTCTTGCATGCTCGCCTATTCGGTTTTCACAACGTCCCAGACGGGCAAAGAAGCTTCCAATATCGCCCCCAGATGGCCAAAGGGGCCCCCAAGAAGGGTCGAAGACGGTCCAACAACGGCCCACGAAGCCCCCAAGACAGCCCAAGAGGGCCCCGAGACGGCTCCAAGACGGAGTCCAGAGGGCACCTTTTCGAGCCTCCGGCCCCAAGACGCCCCCAGCCTGCCCCAAGAACACCCCAAGAGGCCCTGAGGGATCCCCAAGAGAACCTCAAAGGCCTCCAAGAAGCCCCCAGGAAGCCCCCAAGAGGCTCCAAAACTTAGCCCAAAATGCCTCGAGGCGGCCAGATATGGCCTGCAGACAGGCCAAGATGCCACCACAAGGCTACAAAAGAGCACCAAGAAGTACGATAACAACAACGAAGCAACAATAACGGTGTCGAGCGCCGTGTCATGATCCGGACAAGCCTCGTGAAATGCAGTCCTGGAGGCGCAATCGTTTCTTCAGGGGTCGGCGGATGTGGCGTAAGCCTATATAATCGAATCGCATCGAGTAGGATCGTAGGCGGCCCCGACAGGGGTGGCAACTAAACATGATACGCTAGACGCTGGAATGCACGAGACGGAATTTGCAGTTTACGTCTCGCAGTGGTGGCACAAACGGTCGATTGAGAAATACGGTGGGCTGCTGGTGTGGTATACGCGGCAGAACACATCGTTTTGGTTGGTATGGCAGAAATGATGAACGTGGTCGAAGCGGCATGTTGAGGAGAGGCGGGGACGATGTAAGGCGGAGCATCGAGCCATGTGCCCCATGCGTTGATCCCAGAGGCCTTCACCTCCTCCTGCTCTTCCTCCCATTCTTCGTCTTGGAGGAACGCAAGGCGCAGCACGAGAAGGAACGCTTGCCTGGCATTTTCAGCGTCATGCACTGTAGTCTCGCAGGTCAGACAACACCCCGCAATCTCGAAACGAAAGCTCAGCTGATCTCCGCCACGCTTGCTAGCATTCCTTTGCTACGTCATGGCAAGGTGCGAACAACCGCGAGCAACGTGAAACAGAGACCTGCACTGACCGAGAACTCGATCAGCGGTGCTGCTGAAAGAACATGCAAGCCACTTGCCAGAACAAGCGGAGCGGGAGCGATGAAAACACTACCTTGGCATCGTCGAAGCGCACTGCAAAATATACCAAAGCGTCGTTCGGGTAGGAATGAAATATTACGTGATGCACTTTTCACTAATTAGCTGGGAAGCCCTTGAAGGTCGTAGCCCTAGCGGGCCTAGAGGATCTGAGATGCTCTGTGCTTCCATTTGGTGGCCAGCGGCACTCGCGAAACCTATCTACATACCCGTCGACTGTTGCTGGCAGATGTGCACTCGGTGGTCGGTGGCAAAAGCTGACCTTACCCCACGGGTTTCTCGGGCATCCCATGGCTGCCATTGCTGTGCTGCGCTTTGCTTCGCTGCGCGATGCAATGCCACGACGCGCGCAGCTGTTCCATGGCATGCCACGCCGCGCAGTGCAGTGCCGTGTTTTGCGCTGTGTCACGCCGTGCCGTGCGGGGCGGTCCGCCGAGCCCCCCCCCACCTGTGGAAGAGCGCGAGGCTGCTGCGGGGGCTGCCGCTGGTCTGCTGTCTCCTGTGTTCTGTGCACTGCTGAGGGCGCACGACACGAACCGAAACCGAAACCGATGTCCCGGCTGGGGTCACCCGTTCACACCGCCAACCTCCGATATATATATATATAATATATATATATATATATATATATGTACATTTATACATATATACATACATACATACATACATACATACATACATACATACATACATACATACATACATACATACATACATACATACATACATATATATACATATATATACATATATATATGTATATATGTATAAACATATATATGTGTATATATATATATATATCTAAAAGTACATTTGCCACCATGCTATTGATTTGGCTTGAGGGCTAGTTACGGGTACACGTCGACGCGCGCGATCGCCAGTCGAGCTACCCCTCGCTGCTTTCGACTGTGCAGGTTGCAGACTTGCGAACTGAAGGATGCAACTTGACGTGGTGAACCACCGATCGTCCCACACATTGCACCCTCGAAATGAATCGATTCGGGCGTTGCGAAATCCATGCCGCATGTTGTCATCAATTCTCCTCCCTCTGCCCTCCTCCCTCTCCGTCCCCTCATTCCCCTTCGCCTTCTTCTGCCTCCTCTTCCTCATCCTCTCCTTTCCTCCTCCTTTTCCTCCTTCCCTTTTCTGCTTAGCCTTCTCCCTGCCTCCACCCCACCCCCTCCTACTCAGTCTTACTCATGCCCCTTACTCAGGTACTCCTCCTCATCATCCTCGTCCTCCTCCCTTCTGAGCGGGGCCGCGCGGGGCTACATCTTAATCGCGTCAAGTGAAAGCGCAGTCCCTTTGAACTTTTCCCTCTGTTGCGTGGGGGGGGCCCTGCGCTGGGGCGGGGGGGGGGTCGCATAGTTGGGTCATCCAGGCTCGCTAGAGCCTCGGGGCCAAATGTGGCCGAAGTTCGGCGCCCTTGGGGGTCACTCGGGCCGTCTTGGAGGCCCTGTGGGCTTGCCAGGGAAGCCAGCATCGTCTGAGTACCTTCGGTTTGCCTGCGATTTCGTTGCCTCGGTCGCCAGGGCGTCGAAGATGACCCAGGAGCCCCAGAGGGGCCCACAAATCGCGCCACAGCCGCATCGCTGGAAGCCCCCCCTCCCACGTGATCCAAAGGCACCCGAGATGCCCCCGAGACGCCCTCCAGTGGGCCCAACATGGCCCCCGGGGCCCCCCCAGAAGCCCCCAGAGAGCTTCCAGAAGGCCTCCTGGGCCTCCTCATCCTCCTCCTCCTCCTCCTGCTCCTCCTCCTCCTCATCCTCCTCCTCGCCTCTGGGACACGACCCAGGTGCGGTGGCGGGCTGTGCCGACTGCCACCAGACACACACCCTTGCATTCGACCGGTCACTGCCCCTTGGCCCCGTCCCCCTTCCGCCTCTTGCGCTCAGGCTGTTCTCTCTCAGGGGTCGGCGGACCCGGCCGCCAGGCCTCTGCAACGTGCCGCGGATCGGGAATATCGCCGCCCTCCACGATGCCGACCGATCGACCGAGCAGAAGCCTGACCGAGCCTCGATCGCGACATCGGGGTCTCAGGAGGTCTCTTGAGGCCCCCTGAGGTCACCGGACGGACGGACGGACGGACCACCGCATCAGGCGAGCCTGTCCCACTACGGGGAGGGGTGGAAAAGCACCGTGGCGCTACTCTACTGCATCCTGCAAACTCACCTTCCCATCTCCGCCATGCCGGTGCTTCACGAGCATATTCACACCAGTTCAGCGGCCTGAGCTCACCGGAGGCCTACGAAGACACCCCCCGCAAAAATAGGAACGCCTCGATCCCCCAGCCGTGCAGTTCGAAGCCCCTGAGGGGTCCAAAGTCAGTGCTCGGGCTTGCGAGCTGGCAACTTGTCTTCCCGAACTCCCTGCAATGCGAGTTGGGCGCCTACCGCGCTGACGCTGGCTCTGCCCCGCTACCTCTCCTCCTCCCCCTCCTCCTCCTTCTCCTCCTCCTCCTCCTCCTTCTCCTCCTCCTCCTCCTCCTTCTCTTCCTCCTTCTCCTCCCTCCTCCTCCTCCTCCTCCTTCTCCTCCTCCCTCCTAGTGTTTGCCTTCCTCGTCCTCCTTCTCCTCCTCCTCCGACTTGTGCTGTCCCTCCTTATCCCCGATTCCCCCTCCTGCTCCGCCTTCTGCTACTTCTCCTCCTCCTCCTCCTCCTCCTCCTCCTCTTCCTCCTGCGCTTCCTTGTCCTCCCACTTCCTTTCCTGATCATTATCCTGCTGCTGTGGCGGCCGCAGCTCCTCCTTCTTCCCTCCTTTCTCCTCCACTCTCTCCTCCCTCCTCTGAGAGAACAAAAAAAACACGCGTCCATCAGCCCGCGGCGATGGGGCCCGAGCCAGATATCCAGGCTCAGAAGAGCGGGCGGCCCCAGACGGGGGGCCTGGGTCTCGGCCTGCGTAAGCCGTCTGGAGCCACGCCGTCCCGCCAGGTTGGGCAGGGACGGGGTCGGAGGGGTGCGCGTGGCCTGGCTCGGCTTGGGATGGCCCTAAAGGCAGCACGGAGAGAAGAGCGATCCTCGGAGGCGGCCGACGCTCGCTGGACCGCTTTGCCGGCCCATCGGCGAACACTCGCGCGCGGTCCCCGCCGGCCCGACGGCTTTCAGCACTTCGTCCCGCCCCCCCGCCTCCCCCCGCCCCCAAATCGAACGAGACAAGGCGGCGTGGAGCAGGGATCTGGAGCAGGGGAGGAACACGAAGACGTCACGCCGGCACGGATGCGGCCGCCGAGTGCGCAGGGAGGCAGCCTGCTGGCCGAGCACCTGCACGGGCACCGGGCAACGGGCGCCGCTCGGGAGGCTGACCAGCGGCACGGATGCGGCAGACACTTGGCATGCCCCTCCGCGCAAGACGAGTTCTCCGAATTGGTGAGATCCCCTTCGGGAAGCTCACCAAAAAACAACAAGCAAAGACTTCTCGCTGCGCAGAAACTAATAGATTTTAGACTCGGAGGCGGCGCCCAAGATGCTCCAAGGTCCAAGGTCTGCTGGTTTGAACTTCACCAGGGAATCCTAGACGGAACTGCAGCCCAGATGCTGAAGGCGATTTATGCCTCAACCTAGATCTCTACTCCATTTTGGCATGGCGCGGTGTTCTGTAATTTTATGTCTCATCTGCTTCCCTCCACTCACGTACGCGTCCACTCCCGAATGAAGCAACGACAGAACACGTTATAAACCACACGAGCTCTATAACAACGAGGTCGCGTCCTTCACTGCATACCTATACTGGTGCATGATGCTGGCGCTGGTTTATGACAGCCTTTGACTGACTTTGGTACTCGCTTATTGTCTTTGATTGTATGTGGGCGGAGCATCTGCTTCATTTTGTGCGGTCGTCGATGGCGTTCAATGTGACAATTTCTTGGTCGACGCTCGACGGAGTCTAAAATATTGAAAGCGTTAATTTGCAACGTCAAGAGCTTGCCTTTGACCCTCTTTGGGGGGCTAACGCTGCAATCGAGCAGAACTTCTGCAACATGAGCTAGGCTTGGTGGCTGGAGCTGTCCAAGCAAGCTTAGCGAATACGCAAAACGCATCAAGATTATTGCACCTTACAACGCGTACCTGTCTACCCTTGAGCTCATCCGTGGGCTCTGTCAGGACGATGCTTCTGCCTTCTCCAAGAAATCGAACTGGGCGGCCCGAGCAATGGCATTGACAACAATACTGAAAACACGACATCCAGCGTGGACCGCATGCATGTCTCCTCGCCTTCTATGTTGAGGGCAGACATGATTAGATGGCCCATACGCAAGATTCGATTGCTGTGTGGGTAATCGGTAATCGGTCGGACAGGATTCGAAATCAGATCGAGCCGAACCAAGGCCAGCAAATGAAGGAAACCTGCCACGAACAACGACATCCTTGATCAACTCCTTGAACCCTACGACTTGCACGAGTTCGCTGGCCCCTTCGGTGTTGGAGCGGGTCATGTATGCCCTTCCAGGCCTCTTGACCGGAAGGCTCCAAACTTGACCCTGCCAGGGCGTGTCCCTGGTGCGAAACATAAGCGGATGTTGGCCAACGTGGACCCCAGGCGTGTGAGAGCTATGCGGTGTAAACAACGTTGCGTGAGCCTTGCGGTGTGAACTATGTTGTGCGAACTATGTCGTGTAAGCCATGTGATGCGAGTTATGCTGTGAAAATCTGTGCGGTGTGAGCTACGTGGCGCGAGCTAGGTTGTGCAAGCTGCGCAGTGCAAGATGTGCTGCGCCGGCTAGG